GAGAAAGGAATAAATTTCAGAGCAAATTTTACAGGCATGAAGTGTATGCACTTTGGTTATATTTAGTAAGGCGATTATGGTTTTGTTCTACTTTGCGTTGGAATGCCATCAGTTGATCCTGCCTCTTTTCATTCCACTCAGATTAGTTCATTTTTAAATTAATGAGGACTTTACAGAAGTAAATCACATGCCATTTAATGAGATTTCAGATGAAGTAGCAAAGAGCCACAAAGCATGCTGAAGTCTACTTGAAAGCCCCAGAGCTTTGTCCAATCCTTAGTCACAATTATTTCCTTTTTCACTGCCAAAGCAAACTGCAGTGTCCGTTGTACCCAAGCATGAAGACAAAGCTTGTTAAGCGTTGTTAAGACACCGACGTTTGTTGTTGCCGTATTCACTCCAGAATTTTTGCTAAAGCTTAGTCTTCTTGAGCCTGATACCAATATGCCTACAAACTTTTCATCTTATAATTAATTAGGCTCTTGTTAAGCCTAGCTTTAGCAGGACATCCTCTCCCTTTCCTTCCGTGTCAGAAGGGCCAAGAATGTCAAAATTTCACTAGAAACAGCAGACTAATTTATCATATGAGCTGCATACTATAGGAAGGCCTACCCTCTTTTCCCTTTGTCTGCATAGCCTTGGAAGGTTACTGCAAGTTTCATCACAGTAGCACTACTTAAATCTATTATTTCAGCATGTGCCATCTGAGGAACATAAGGTAATCCATGATGATTTCCTCACTTGAGCGCATTCATAGCTAAAGGCCTACATACGATTTGTAGATCGCTGTAGAACCTGAATGCCCAACACTTGCCCACACATCAACCAATGAAAAACTAAAGCTACTCAGCCTAAAGCATCTGCTGGTGTGTTCATTCTGCATCCATGCTGACCCTGCCAGCTTTCATTTAAGATGCTCCCTCTCTGCTAGAAGTGGTTAGATTCCCCTGCTTAGAAAATTATTTTATTTTTCTACTCTGTCCCAGTGCTTTGTGTTCCTGCCATGGTCTGCAGAGGCTGCAGTTGCTGGAAGAAAGGTATCTGCCATGATGCATATAGATTTTTGTTGCTGATGAGGCAAGCTTGAACACTATGGTAACCTTGTGGTTGTGACAGGGGAGTGAATTCAGCTATAAAATCTGCTTCTTTTAGGACAGAATCCTACTCTGCAGAACATTCCAGGAGGCAGAAATATTTAGTTTCATTTCAGATAGGCAGGATTTGGGAAGAAGGAGTGGAAAAACAGTTTGAAAGACAAAACATTGAAAGACACCTTTTGTTAAAACAAGTGAAAAAGTGACTCATTTTGCACTCTATTGTTTCTAACTAAATTGACTGCCTGTCCAATTTCCTTCCAGTTTATCACAAAGCAACACTACAGCAGTTTGAATGGAATATATGACTGAAGGTACCTACCTATGAATTGTTCAGTCTCTGTATCTGTTGGAAGGGTGTTGGATTTCTTGCATGTACCTGCATTAGAAAAAAATCTTTTTTCAAAGGAAATTATGAAACCTAAGTTCTCGTACTGCATAGTCCTTCATTAGTACAGGTACATTTCTTTAAGCAGAGAAACACGAAATGATGGCTTGGTGGCAGAGAAGAGCAAAGGTTCTACCTAGGAATCAAACACATGACCTAGGAATCAAAACCATATTATTATGGCTTGCACACCTACAGCAGATGAAAGACAGCTTGAAAAGATCTTTGTTCCTGCAAATGTGTCTCATTGAATGATGTGGCAGGGACAAAGGCACAGCATTGGAAGCGAATCTAAACCATCTGTTAAATGTCATCATGCACAAAACATGTTACTGGATTAGCTCCAGATTCAGGCATTCAGATTCACATTCTGGCTGAGATACTAAATAAAGAGTAGAAAAATCTCAAGCTAACAGAACAGAAATACTAGCCTTAATAAAAATGGTATGCAATTAATTAGCCAGTTCAGAGAAAAGCCAGAAGGGGTTTAGCAGACAGGTAACTTGCCAAGACTTGGACTAAACTGTCCGAGGTTTCACAGAAACATTTCAAAAGCCCTATGAAGGACCTGGAGCTGGAACAGCTGATCAGGATTGAGATACCTAGCAAAGAAAAATAAACCTCTTGTTGCACTGGGAAAAATTCTCAGATCCTCAGAGCATGGTAATGCCACTGCTATTCTAAATATCTGCTTGAAATTATTTGAAGCACAAACCCAAGAACTCAAGGCCTAAAGACAATCACTTTTATAGCAGTTTTATTCAAGTCTGTGTGCTCTAGTGTTGAGACAAGGCCTAGATCAGCATTACACTGTAATACAATAATTTTAGCCATTGAACCAAGCCTGCTTGGCATCCTTGGTTTACAATTTACAGTACATCCAAAAAAAGAGCAAAGAGAAAAGAAATCCCAAAACGCCAACAACTTTCAATAGCTCTTTGCTTTGCTTAAATATTGTTCTATAACATTAAATAATTTAATACAAAAAGAACTGTAATCCAAATACACATAATACATTGACACAGAACAGAGGAAAGATACAGTAGATTATGCACAAGAGTATTCAGTTGATGTGTTACCTACAGTGAAACAAACTGGACATTAATATAATTTAACTATTTAAGCCCAAGAGGGTCAGAGGCAACAAGTCCGGGTCACAAATAAAGCTTTATAAAAAATAATGCAATCCTCTTTTCCTCTAAGCTTACTGCTGTACAGAAGTTAAAGGAAGGCTCCAACGAATCACTTAATTTGACAACATTTCATCACACAAACAAGAAAAACTTGGTGGCCTCTGTTATTTTACTCAACTCTGGGGTACATTGCCATTTGCTAATGCAACTGCTTCATTGCAGGTTCTTCGGGCAAAACATACCTTCAGGTGCTACTTCCACAGCAACAAACTTTTGAACACCATGAACAGAAGAGAAGACATAGAGAGGTCTCCAAAACCAGACTGAAATACTGGAGTTGCAAGATGAATCTCAGTCCTACAGAGTTTGGAGTTCCTTATGAAGTACCCAACATCCTCTACACAGTGATTTCAACACAAGCAGGAACTACCCCATATCTTAAAGGATCAGACATGGGGCATGATCTTATACTAGAGTAATCTACTCACCTGGTTCTTCAGATTTACAACATTGTACCTAGGAAAGTCAGGTCACCAATTTTTGCATCTGGCTTTAAATAGAAGCAGGAGCAGATCCACAAATAATAAGGCAAAAGAAAGAAGCAGCTTATAAAAAGAGGGAGGAAATACATTCTCTGGCTCAGAAATTCTTGAACTTTCAAAGCCACAGAAGAGATATTGTTAAAAGCACAGGTATTTTCCCTGATTTTTCCACCACTGTTGCCTGCCACTCCATTTAAGCCTCTCAACTTGAGTCAGGCAAAATATCTCAGATATTTCCAGCTTGTCGTGAATTTACGAGAAGGAATTCACATATAGCAGCACGAAGTGCTGTGCCAACAGCTGATAGACAAGAACCCTAGAACTCTAGTGAAGTGGTGGATGTTGATCACTGCTGAACTTGTCAGGTCTGTTCACCAGCCTGGAGGGATACATTTTGAAAATGAGAAGAAACACCTGAGGAAAGGCCCCAGGTTAAACTGTCATTTGCACACACAACCTCCAGTCACCACTTACTGCCCCTTTACAGATAGCAATCTGCAAATGCAGAAGTTGTTGCTCTTTCATCCTGTGTCAGAAAACATTCTCAAAGCTTACCCTGCTTATGGTAAGAATTAGCAGTCAAACAGGCATGGCATGTGCAGTCATGGAAAGGCCACAAGAATCAGCAGTCAAACTAGCATTTACCCAGAGGTTTGTTGAGGAACTCTTTCCTCAAGTTAACTGACTCTTTCCTCTGACAATCACAGTAAAGAGCCTGGTCCTTCACCAGGACAACCCCCCAATTTAAAGAGCTTTGCTGAACTGAGGTCTTGTGCATTTTGACCCACAAACACATTCCACTGACTTCAGTGATTTTTTAAGTATGTGATGAAGAGCTTTCTGAATTGAGGCCTCTTTCCTTTTAACTTGAAAAGTAGTTACCCTAAATATGAACTTTTCCTACTAGATGCCCTTGGTTTTATTTGGTTTCTTATAACTGCCAAACACGATGGGCACTGGTGACTTTAAGTGGATCTAGGTATATTCTCCAGTTTGAACCTAGACATCCCCCAAAGAGACCTATGTTGCACAAGAATGGATTCTACTCTCTGCAAAGAGCACTGGCCAAACTCAACCAGTTCAACTGGCAAACACTCACTAGTATGCTTTCTTTTTTAATTCTTTTTTCTTTTTTTTTTTTTTCTGTGGCTTTATTCTTTACAGACTAGGGTATCTGGATGTTATCAAGATAACCTTGAAAACAGAGCAACTGATGGAGTAACAACTGCTTGAGATGCAATGTGAAAAGAGATATTAGCTGCTCTGTTCAGATAGAAATGCTAACCCTGTTGACATTGTAAGAGCTGCTCACTAAAGCATGCAAGACAGAAGAACAAGCCTAAGGTGAATATCTGGGCAGTCGACAGTGACAACTCATTTTGTGACACTGACCAGGCCTGGGAGTAAAGACATTACGCAAACTGAGAAGTGGCCACATTCACAAATTCCAGAAGAACCCAAGGAATAGACTCAAGAAGCTCAGTGTGCAACTGAGCTATGCCAAACAGCAATCAGAGGTTACGTTTGTTCTGAAACTTAACTGCTGTTAGCAGCATTCTTATCAACGAAGCTTGGAAAAACACCAGCATGTCTTCCTGCTCCATTATAACCTCTCCTGCCAAGACCGCGAGACACAAAAGCATCAGCACACGCCTAGAACAATATTTCTTTTTTTCAGACACATATATCTCTCCAAGACAAGGAGGTTAGTTTTATCCAACCTCAACATCTGTTCTTGAAAAAATGCTGAATTGAAACAATCAAGGTAGATCAGGGAGACAGTATCAATCACTCTGAAATAGTATACTTAAAATGCATTATTCTGGTCTTATGTTTCAGCCAAAAGTATTTCGTAATAATGAAGGGCCTTTTCCCCCGCCATGATTACTTTTCAAATTGCTTATTTTAAGCAAATAAAACTTTGGCATTCCTCCTGCAGATTTGTTCTAAGCCCTCTTTTGCTAGTTGTGCATCCATCCGACCCACCAGCTACAGACCTAACAGAAGCCCACTTCAAGCTGAGCTCATGAATCCACTACACTGCACACTAAAAATGTGTCATAGTTTCTTAATATTAGCTATATTGGTCTGTCTGCACATTATTAGCATTCAGATACAGTAAGGACTGTATTAGGAGCTGATACATTAGGAAAACAGCACTGCAAATACAGGAAAACAATCAGGATCATATGTAGGTCCACTTTAAGAGCACATGAGATCATTAAAAAAAAAATCTGTTTTGAAAAAACAGACTGTTGCTTTTAAAAACAGTAGTCACCAATATGAAATCACCACCTTTTGGTCTGTGGACAATCAACTCTTCCACAGATCAAAAATCATCAAGAAAAATGCCCTGCCTTGTCCTTTATTGTCTATTTTGGAGACACCAATATTTAAAGAAAGTATAATCTTAACTTAATAAACCAAATGGTTGGTTTTATTTTTCCATCAGAAATTTGCATGTCAAAGAGCCAAACACAGTGTTTGGCCCTCCCATCTCATTCCAGCCTCAATTGCTTACTTAGAGCAATTCTTACCAAAACTTGAACTTTCTTCCCATTCTATCTCTACAAATGAGGTAGTTCAGGGTAAAATACAACAAACCAACCAGAAACTGGATGAGTTGGATGGGGCTTTGAGGAACTAGTCTAATTGAAGGTGTTCCTGACCATAGCAGAGGGACTGGAACTAGATGATCTCTAAGGTCCCTTCCAACCCAAACCATTCTATGAAATTAAGTAACTACATATTCCTCAAATTCTTCTTTGGGACCTATGATGCCAACAGATTACCAAGCAGCTAGTATCCCTCTGTTCTCTGACTTACATTAAGAAGGATAATTTCACTCTTATTTGCTATTTCCTGCCAACTTCCACTTTCACTTCACCCAGTTGTATCTTATGCTTCTAGCTCAGAAACCTTTTAAGTCAAAGCACACCTAAAATATGTATTGTCTTCTGTCTCAGGCTTGTTACTTGGGTAACAAGAATAAATAACCAGTAAAGATTGGGTGGGGGCAAAATTCTAACAGAGAGATACTGAGAGCCAGTGATAGCGCATGCCTTGACACAGGGGTGTGGGCACATCTCTAATTGGGAAGATATGAACACTGTGCTGGTATTTGGCCTGGTGTGTGATGAACAACACAGTACTGAAAGCTACAACCAGGAGTTCCCTCCAAAAAACCTCAGCTCCTAGCAAGGAACATATGAGATGGAAGCACCTACGAATACAGGACGCACCTAAGACATGTATATATTTCATAGGTTTAAAATACAAACCAAAAATAATCAACATTCCCAAGCAAACAGAAAATAAACAAAAACACAGAGTCCAAGAAGCCATTCTTAGTGGGAAAATTGTGTTCCTGGTCAGGAAAAGTAAGAGGTTTTTCACTCATGTACAGATGAAGTCAAAAGGTATTTCTTGTGTACAAACACTGATGAAGCGCTGAAGACTTTCTAGTTGCAAAAAGAGAGATCCTTGTTAGAGAGGAATAATAATAATTGTGGTAGCTACATCAGATCCATCATCCAGTCACCAGTGGCAAACTACTTTTTAATCAAGCACACATACCTCATTAGCCTGGGAGTGACTACTTTCGACACACAAAAATAAAGTTGATATAGGTAATTTCAGAAGTTGTGTTCATCTCTGACCAGCAGCAAAGCTGCTTAAAAAACTCAGCACGGGAAAAACCAAAAGCAAATGCACATCTTAACTGCAGCACGTGACTTTCTACTAGGGTGTTCAATAGAGGGAGCAGCAGAAGAAGCCATGAGTTCATTTCCATATTGCCTCACGAAACCGTGAAAGTAAGGCTAAGGAAACAATAAAACGTAAGTTCTTAAGAAGACTGTATTGTTTGTTAAACACACACAAAAAAGAAAAAATTTAAACCACAAACTTGATTGAAAATAGAGGAAAAAAATCAGAGGTACAAATCTGGCTAAAGATCACTTCTGTCCAGCTAGCTACTATACTGTGAAAACCACCATATTCTAATCTTAATCATACTCTAATCTTAAAATAGTAAATGTAACAGAAAAACATAGGAAGGCATTCTTTCCTAAAGATACCTTAATTATAAAATCATCCAAAGGTTTATGAAGTCTGAAAGTTATGCTCTGTGACAGCATGAGTATATTTTGGTTATCATATTTGGTGTTCTTATTGCTTGTTTGCAAATACGTTTTAAAACACGTCTATCCCCTCACTCTTCCTGTCCAGTTTTACCCAAATTTTAGTCTTAAGTGAGTTAAAAGCATGGAAACTAAGAAACTGATCTGCAGTGACAGGATAAGGATCAGAAATCTTAGTTTCCAAATATAGATGTCCTCGTTTCATACCAAAAAAAGCAAAGCCAAAAGGAAGGCCTAAATCACTGTGAAAGATATAAACCTCCTTATTCGCCACAGAATTCGTAAGAGTTCTTGAGAACATTTCTAAAATGATGGAAAAGGTTAGAAAGCAATAAGCACTTTTTCCAAGAAGAAAGATTTCAAAAAAATCCACAAGAAACAAACCCATTAATATTAGCTTAAAATTACTTACAAAAGTAACAGGCTGTCACTGAATTTTGGGATACAATATTGGGTTTGGTTCCATACATCTAAAGGGACTCCAGCTCCCATGTTCATCCCACAGAGATTAATTAAATTTCAAATAAAAGTTAAGCTCAAGGTAGAAAGGTGACTCGAGAGGTTTCCTGTCATGTTCTATTTAACAGAACACTCCAGCTGGCAAAGACCTTTTTTTACTCGACCATTACTGCCTCACCTTCAACAGAATGAGAGGTATCCAGTTTCGTGACATATCGAAGCAACATCTCTATGCAGTATTGTCCACAAAGTCTTAAGATAACAGCATGCTATGAAGAGGAAGGCAACTACTCCCATTCCTAGAGGTACAGAAAAATACTTCATCATAAAAACATGCCAAGCCAGAACAGGCCTTTCCACATCAACAACGAAATATTCACTTTAAAAATACTCATTTTGTTAGAAAACAATTACAAAAAGAGTATTTTCACTGAGGTTCCCTGCCTCATAATGAATATCAACCCACTGCAATACTAATCTGGAAAGAAAATACCTATAAAAGGTTACATCTGCACCTCTGAAAAGGACTGAAAGGAGATCAAGACCTGCTTGCTGGTAAAACACAGCATTGTGCAGTCCATAAGAAGCAACAGTATTAGAAAAAAATCCGTAACTATTTAATCACCTTGGTTTTGACACAAAAGCTTTCTTCTCTCTACTTGTCCCACACACAATTTCTGTGAAACCAGTAGAAATTTATAAAAAAATTCATCCTTTTTTTTGCACTGGTTGTTATGTCTGTGCTTTCCCGCCAGTTTTACAGGAAAACCAAACAGGCTACAAGGATAGCATATTTTGAAGGGCCAACAAACTTTTAGCATATCAATTACATAAATTAGCGAGACATACTGCCAGCTGACTAAACAAAAGCACAAATATATTTCTAGACCACAAACATTTCTCTCAGGTACAATCTCACTACTACTTGTGCCTTCCTCCTTGTAAGGCCTGTAATTAGACACCCTTTACTCCATTCTTTTGTCATTATGTTTTAGACTGCTCAGTGATTTTGTGCTCTCATGTTATCTTTTTCTCATTTTCTCAGAAAAAAAAAGTGCAACTTATTCAGCTACTTAGGAAACAATACATTTATTAGAATTTTTTAAAGTAATATTTTCACTATTTTCTTCAGGAATACTCCTAGAAAAGTACGTCAATGAACAATATTCTGAAACTTTTATCTCCCTGAAAAATGGAAGTAATAGTAGCCAGTAGGAAAACAGATTTGTGAGCTGACAGGCTCACATCTTCTCACTATCTAGTGGACTACAGTGGAGCATTCCTTTGGAGATGTGGAACACCTCACCTCACACAAGTGGGAAGGAAAAACACCAACAGATTAAGAAAGAAGAGAATTCAAGCCAGGACGGGACAGATGGATATAGGGAGAGGTTTTGGGATTCATAAGGCAAAGCTCTTTGCCTTGAGAGCTCCCTCTGCCTGTCAGAGAACACCCCACCACCTACTAAAGTCAATAGTCTTGGTTCCACAACAGTCTTCTCTTGCCTGATCCCTCAGGTTAATCACCTAAGGACAGCTTATGGGTTGATACTCAAAGACTACCTGCGGCTAATTCACATGCTAGATTCAATGAAGATAACTGCATCAAAGAAGGGTCCATTTGGCATTAGTGAAGATGCTCTTTGGAGCAAAATACTTCTCATCATTCAGCTACACACCACTTTCACCAAGTGATTATCTAAAAGGCAGAGAGTGGCAAGGAGGTTTTGATACGTCATCCTCAACTTTCTTAAGCAAAAAAGGTGACAGAACAACTTGCCTTTCCAGCTGTCTTGATTGATGGGAACTTGACTGAAACCTTAGAGTTTACCTGTGAACTTACTGGTCAACTATCAGAAAGTTTAGCAGGCTGAGTTAAAACAATATGACCTAAAAAGGTGGCCTTCCATTTCGGGCAAGTAAATGGATTTTAAAGATTTCTGTTCAAATGGGGCTATTCCAGGTGATGCCTTTGCAGAGCACATGATACTACCTATGACATTTATAATGATACTTTTTGGATAGAAAACATTACATTTCAGAACAGTTGACCTTGTTTTGTTTCAGACTTTTTAAGATGGTAAGGCAGACTTTGAATAAGGGACTGTTTTAATACCTTTCTTTTTAGTCCCTCTGACACAGCCTCTCACTGATATTTCCTTGAGCTTCGTTTATAGCACAATCAAAATTAATCATCTGTTGGATGGGTTTTGCCTTTTTGTTAGTCTCTGGATCACAGACTGATTTTTCAGAAATGGAAAGCAAAACTATGAATGCTTAAGAAATCAATAATGCTAAAGTTCTACATTTAACAAAATAGTCAGAAATGTAAGTTTTCAAGTGTCTTAGTTGCACATCACAACACCTTGTCTACACAATCTATCCAACTTCAGCACCTCGTATAGCACAATTAAAGCTAGCTCTGGAGCATTTAATGGCGAGGGTGGCAGAAAGTAATTCTGCCATTAAGAATTTTTCATGGAATGTGATAAATAAGAAATATGTGACCTTTCTACACAAAAACATACTGTACTCGCTTGAAAAAAAGGTGCACTTGATTAACGGCAACATGCTAGTTTCAGTCCTCAAACAGAACTAAAAAACCTTATGTACACTTCTTCCTCGCATGCTGGTTTTTAAAATCCGATTACAAACACCTCAACACACAGGTTCTCTGTGCTGACAGCTGCAGGAAGTATTTGGCTACACTGCTTTCACACCAGGACTGGACTGCCCCAACAGGCTGAGCACTGCATTGGTGTCACTGTCAAATAAATTATTTGCAACCGAATGGTCAGCAGATTATCAAAATGAGCACAGATCTGTACAAAAAGAGTGAACAGATACGCTTAACCTGCGATAAAGCAGACTACCCTATTACAGTGATATAAAGGCTACATCTCTTATTTATAATGCTGAACCGGGGGAAGCGTGAAGCTCTCATTACAGCCACTAAGTTATACCTGTAGTGGCACAGACACATTTGGAAGTCTTTGTACAGAAAACTGTGAGCATAGGCACACCCTATTTGTGTAACTTCCTCCTTCAAGACAGGGGTCTGTTCTTGCTCCTGATTTAGTTTTTTACATATTTGAACAAGAATAAAGTTTTACATGTCTACAGGGCCTTTCACTCGAAGATCTCAAAGGACTATTACATATGTCCCAACCCCTCCCTTTGTGAGGTAGGTATTATTCCTATTATTTACAGATGGGGAAATTCAGGCACAGAGGTTACATTATTTGCCCAGGGTCACACAGTGAATCAGTGACAAAATAAAACAGAATCCAGATGTTCTGATTCCTGTTTGCACAATCCAACTACTAACAAGCCTCATTTTAAAATAGCCTTAAACAAGTACCAGTGTGCATAAGAACAGTCTTGGGTTTCATGGGTCACTCCTAAAAAGTGTAAGAAAGGACAAAAACCAGGAAGATAAATTTGGGAACATGCAATTTACTTCTGCAAGTCAACACAGCTTTAAAGAAAGAGTTCCTGCTAAATCCCTTCCCAAAGCTGAGGCAACTTCACTATAGCCTGAGAAACAGGTGGTAGGAAAAAAGGGACAGATGGAACCAAATTTGAAATAAAAAAGCAAGATAAACAGTCATACCATAAGCCTTCATCTTCTTGAAAGCACTGGGTCATAGAAAAACAGGGCTGAGAGGGACCTCAAGATACCACTGAAGTTCATCTAACCTACCTTGAAGCCAAGATCAACTACACCTACTTGTTTCATCTGCTTCGCCTGTTCTCAAAGACCTCCATCAGTGGAGATGCCATGCCCTTCCCCTGCAATCTGTTCTACCACACACTATCAGATAAGCAAAAGAGGACAAACAAGCCTTAAGATAGCTACTTCTCCTCTTTCAGTGGGGGTATGTTGATTCCCAGGCCTGTCTAATGATCTGAATATATTTCAGAGAAGGTAGTCTCTAGATAATTAATTGTTTCTGTCCTGGATTCCTTGGGAAAACATCAAACACTGATGTCTGCTATTGTGTAATATTTGAGTTTTGAAAATACTGATTAATACCAGCATAGATACCAATATATTTACTGCAAGTGCCAAATCCTACAAGGTCAGTAACAAAAGGCTTTGATATGATAATTTTAGCTCATTGCAGATTCAAACTGCAATAAGAGGGCAGGGAAGACTACAGAAAAACCCCACAGCAAAAGTCAGCAGCTCAGAGTTGCCAAGTTTCACCCAACTGCAGACAAAAATCAGGCAGTCAACAATGCATCTTCAGCAGAGGCAGCACCATATGATCTCTGTAGCATCCCTCCATCTCATCTGTCTTCAAAGTGCATTCTCAGTGCAAAAAGTAGGATTGAATTTAGAGGGGCTCACTGTCCCCATTGGTTTCATATTAAGACCAGAATTCTTGCTTGAGTTCATATGCTGCAGCTTTGTGTGTGTTAAGTTCACTTCTGCATAGCGGAATGGTGCTGTCCTGGCTCTGCCCCTCAGCATCCATGTCCAACAGTGTCCGCTCCTCTACAGGAGGACCCACCTGGAAAGGAAGCAGCGCAGGCAGTCCAGGTCTCTCTTCTACAGTGCTACTGCTACTAGCAAAACAAGAGTCCAGATTGCTTGGAGTATCAGTACTTGAACTGTTGGCAGAAGATTCACCCTTGGCATTGCTGGGTGACACAAACCACCAGGGATCAAGCCGCTGCCGACTGGCTGCAGGACGTGGCCGGGGCAGGAACTCCAATGTCTTGGGTCTTTCCAGTGTGGGATCCTGCTGTGCATTCCATCGTCTCGGGGTAGGAGGAAAAACAAGGTTGGGGTCTGGCAGGCGAGGGACCTCAGTGGGATCTCTACTTGGACTAGGTGTTTTTAATACACCTATCCAAACCAGACAATGTAAGAGAAGAGGGAAACATGTTAGATGTCACTGTTACAACAGATCTTGGTTTATTGTATGTACAGTGCAAAAACATTTTCAAAGCAGAAAGCCTCCACTCAGAATCTACAAACTCCATTTCTTCAAGATGATGCCAATCTGAAGTAACTCGCTTCTTTATTCCTACACTGTTCTCAACAAATTTCAAGACACTTGTTTCACTGACCTAGCACAAGCACCAAGTTTTGTTCATCCTCTCATTTGCTTTCTTCAATTTTCTGACTGGAGAGTGTGGATTTGACCTCCTACCAGAGGGGAGAACTCTCCAAATCCTTCAGAAGGCACATTACCCACTAACAGCTTCAGTGGATCAGGGAGACGCACAGCATGATACACAACATCCATTTATCACAAGCAGGACCAACTGCCTGAAGCCACCTAACACTACCTACTGCAGATGCTTCCTGATTTGTTTTTGTTTCGGGGTGGGGGATGGTGTTTGCTTGATTTTTTTTATAAACACAACATAACTTTTACCATTTTAATGAGAATTCTCAACTGCATTAACCCACATTTTACTGCAGACTTCCATTCAAAATACAACCTCACATTCTGTTTTACCATTGGGAAAAGATCTAATTAAATAAAATTTTAATTTATTATTCTAGTCCTTTTTTTTTTCTCTGAATTACTAGGGCAAGAACACAAGAAAATATTTTTTAAGTTATGAAGTCACAGCTACTTTTAAAGACTGCAACACTGAGAACTACCTATCCAGAAAGACCCCTCTTATTTGCAAAGGAATAAGAGCAACAGTGGCACAACCACCAACTGTTTTAGAGATCCCGTTTTCACCGCCTTAAAGACCAGAATTTACTTTGAACTACAAACAAGTGTATAAAGGCAATGAAGATGGAACCCCAAGGAACTGTTAAAAACGTGCAGTATTTGTACTTTGGCACCATTTTTGTCTAAGAAACAATACTATGCTCTGCCTTACAGCACAGGGGAGCAAAGAGTTCCTTAGCTCAGAGACACTGGAACAGAAACCATTACTGCATTATTCTGTTAACTATTTGTGTAAAGACAGCATCCATAAGCAATTCTTGTGGGCTGGTCATCACAGTGATGCTGTATAAGCAACAAGTAATTATACTGTTTATGTCTTTATTCTGAAGAGGAAAAGGAAGATGGCTGAAAACCTACCTGCTCCCAGTGCTCCAGTTAAACAGCTACTGGAAGGGCATCCACTGGTTGGGCACCCGTTGACAATTAGTCCACTCCCTTTGATGGCCCCATCAGAAGGTGTGCGCCTGTGCCCGCTTTGCTGGGTGTGGGAAGAGACCGTCACATGTGTGGGAGTCAGGGACTGGTTGGGGTCTTGTTTGAACCTCTCGATCTGGACATTGACTAGTGGGTTGGTAATGGCTGGCAAAGGAGCCTTGACTGTCACTGGGCTGACAGGCATTTCATATACCACAATCTCATCACTGTCTGAGCGCAGCAGGGACCGGGTGGAATTACATTCGGAAATGGAGGACAGGGAAAGAAGGGTAAGGGATGTGGATGGCTCGCCTAGCAACAACATGGGATCCTCCTTCTTGAAGATCTTCCGGGAAGGTGGACTGGTGCTCCTGCGTGGGCGTCCAGCTCGCTGAAAAATGCTGTCACGCTTCTTCTTCTCTTCCTTGGGCACCTCCGGCTCCTCCTCAATCAGCAGCTGACACTTCCCTGCTTCTAACAGATCAAAACCCAGGCCTGCAGCAGCCAGCACTGCTCCACAGCCAAGCAGTGCAACCTCACATCGCTTGTGGTGGGAGCCAGTACGTTTGAGGCTGTTGGTGGGTGTCAGCTGTGGGGTACTAGTAGCAGAGTTTACAGGGGTAGACTCCTCATTGGCATCACTAGAAGGGCCATCCCAGTCTTCATTCTTCTGAAATGGGATGCAGAGGTATGACTGATTGTGCACAGGTGAAGGGTGCACTTTGTCCTCTCCATTAAGACATTCGCTGTCTTCATCATCTGGAAAGCAAATGAAAATAGACTTTGTGTTGATGTAACATTTTCACTAGCAAATTTCACTGTCTTACAAATATTCATGAATACAAGCTTCTCCTCAAAAAATGCAACTGTTCTCCTCACAAGCATCATTCATCAACTGCCAAATAATCACACACGTTATTGTCTCCAAAGCAGATAGGATGAGACAAATACCTGGAAGCACTATCAAAGCGGATGCATTAATCTATTTGGGATTAATTGCAGAATAGCATTTCAGAAGCAACCTGCACCTCAGTTACTTCTAGACTAAAGTTATATGTTTGTGAGTGAGGAGCAAAAGGTAGGAAAATTATAAGGGTTGTTCCTTGCAAGTGAAGGTGTAACCATGCTGCACATCTAAATATCAATATACAGGAAAGAAGCTCAGAGATAACATGGAGCTAGAGGAGAATTAACAGAAGCTTATTAACTTGACAGATAACAAGCACAAGCAGAGAGGTGAATAAAAAGAAAATCTAGAAGGAGGAAGTGGACATTTCACAGAGAATAAAAGAAAAATAGATACCAAACAAAATGAAAACATAGCTGTAAAGTATCAGGTGAAGGTCAGCAAAGAAGAAGTTTATTCAAATGTGAATGTAAGTGGGAATGAGAGTATCAAGTTGAAGGAATTCCTTTACCCATCTCTGCTAAGCTGGTGAATCCCGGAAAAGCTGGTGCAGTTCTCTGGATCTTTCCAAGGTTCGGTGCACTGGATGACCACTGTTTGTATCCTTCTACCAGAGCTTTCAGACTGAAATAGTAAAAGGATGTGAGAAAATGTACCATGCTCACAAGCAGTTTCCATTTTCCCCTTCTATATTCTCTATTATTCTATTATAGCATGCATGTATCCATCTTAACTACACAGATTTGAAGCCCTCCTGCAACAAGAAATTGTGACATTTTTACAGCACCTTAAAACACAAAAAAAAGTCGTAAGGTCCCTCCATTGTTTATTACACCACAGCAGTCAAAAGACCTCTGCTGATAACTAACAGCTATGAATGCAGAATAATAAAAAGCACCATTACAAAAATCAGATTAAAAATTTTCTCTCAAAATCAAGGCATCTTGATTTCTTTTGCAAGTAAAAAATAAAGTGCTCAGCAGAAGGAGAGGAAAAACAACTCCAAAAACATTTCCATGTTTACTGCAATTTCGTTCCCTTTAAATTAAAATTTGCAGTCCAGCATGATCTCAGAAAGAATTAGTATTTCACTGCATATTAACCATACTGCACTCTCAGCAACACTATCTTGTTTCAAAGTCTGCAAAATGCAATAGCTGTATTGAGTCTCCCTAGGAAAGATTCTGAATACTACAGAACATCTCAGTTGCAGAGAGAACAGGATAGTCTTATGAGCAACTACAGTTAGCAATCAAGTCCCTTCCAGTTGTCTGTGCCCAAAAGCCATCAGTGCTTCAGACTGTACAGTAATGAACAGAAAACTGAAGAGCTTTATTCCCACAATTCTAAGAACATGATTTCAAGATAAAAGTATTCTTCTTCCAGCTTCAGTGATCTCCTACCTTTCTATATAGTTAATGATTGTAAAGTGTGACATTTGTTTTAATTCTGTAGAATGCTATACTTCATCTACAGAACAGGTAAAGCACAGACGTCAGTCAAAGAACCTTCCTCCACATTGTCCTGTCAACATGTCATAAGTGTATTTGAGAGAGAACGTATTCTAACAGATCCAGGCTCTCTTGCAGAGAACTGCAATAGTAATGCATTATGCAAACATGCTTTTCAGGCATTTCACACCTGAGCACGCAACAGTTAAAGATTATAACCAGTTATTTTATTTTCCCTGCTAAAAATATGGCAAGAGTCAAACTATCAATTTAGCAGAGGGAAAAAGCTTCAAACTCCATGAAAAAAATCACAAAACATTCAAACCCCTTAGAAGACCAAAATACTCCTATGTTTAAAGCAGCATTTCAGCAATGATCCATTGGAGTCCTTGTCCTGGTTAGAACGGCTGGGACCAATTCATCACTGGATGGGTGCAACCCAAAACTGTGTATTCTATGGCCCTCCATGCCATTTCCCAAAAACTGTTGTCAGTAGAGGCCTATGTTCCTGTCCTCATGCCCTTTTATGGAATTCCCCGCTCTGATACCCTTTTATGGAATTCTCCTCTCTGAGGGAGGGACTGAGCATGCTCATGCCCTTTTATGGAATTCCCTGCTCTGAGGGAGGGTCTGGGCACTCCCGCCTGAACTGGAGAATATATAAACTGGGATCCTCGGAACCTTTCCACCTCTCATGGGATCCAGAGGACGACTGCAGACCACTGCCTTCAACTAGACTGCAGACCACCGCCTTCAACCAGACTGAGACCACCACCCTCAACTGGACTGCAATCACCACTTCTGACCAGACTGCAGCAGCTCTCCCACCAGCAGGTTTATCCCCTCTCCCTTTGCTTTGGACTCAGGGGTGGGCCAAGGTACACCACTTTTGTTCATACCCCAGGGTGCTGGGTTATACATTTGGGTTTTGTGGGTTAAAACCAATTGCCTGTCTGTATAATTGTACTTATTGCATTATTTTAATAAATTGTTATTCTGACTTATAAATCTCTCTTTTGAATTGAGTTCATTTTCCCTTGCTGGTTAACTTTTAAACCAGCACAGTCCTGGTATAAATAATTCACACACACACACACAAAAAAAAAGCAGCCAAAGAACAATAACCTATAGAAATAGAAGTACAATCTGTATCTCTGCAAAGATCACTTTCAGGATGTATTCACTCAAGGTACATGTCCTTTTCAAATGACTGAAGATATTTTGTCTGGCTCTACCAGATAAATGCTATTATTTAAAAATTAAGATAAGAAAAAGCATATCTGAGAATCGTAAGAGAGAAGTATTTTCAGATACGATACAAAACTACAGAAAGTTGAGCCTGAAAAATAGAGAAAACCTACTAGAGAAAGAGTTTTGCTCAGCTAGGAAGTCCTACTGCTTAGAAATACACCTAACAACATAATAGCAAACCATGAAAGCATCAGTCACCAGCAAGAGATTGAATGCAGTTCTGTAATCTGAATCTCTAACATCTCTGGTACAGGAAATAAGTTTGGGAGCAGGAAAGTGTTTGCAGGAGAAGAGGCAAATATCCCGAGAGCCAGCTCATAACCAGTTTTTCAGAACCTAGAAATGAGCCTGCCTCCAGGCCCTCTCTTACCCATCCTCTCCTGCACCTAGCTCCTTGTGACCAAGTGAGCTTGGTCCCCAGGTGCGCCCCTTTTTCTTCTGGCCTCTCTTCTCTTCTTCCTCTCCTTCCTCCTTTGGAAGGACTGAGCTTCGCCCCCACGTTTTACTGCTTTCAGCAGGAGTCACTTCAGAAGTGGGAAGAACAGTGGAAAATGGAAAAGAAAAACAGATAGACAAATTAAAGAATTGGTTCCATGGCAACATGAAGAATAAAACATAGGCCAAAACAGGAATAGTAGTAAAAATTATTTTCCTGTATTTCTGATCATTTATCAACACAGATCTAACAACCAAATCCCTTCAAAATTAGGTATTCCCTAATCCCTCAAAGTATAGGTAGCCTTTACAGCTTTATTCCATCACTGGTTTCTCTTTAGAACCACCAGTTTGATACTAGACACACAAGTGTCATGATATCCAAAACAAACACTATACATTAACTAACATGACTTCCATAATTCATGCATGTCTGCCTAATTCTGTTTTATTATGGGAACATTATTTGCATGACAAGCACCCTTGTTTTTATTTCCTTACAACAGTAACTTAATCCACTTCAATAATGTTTCACAGATCTACTCTGCAAATTAGCATTTTTAAAAATTAACCTCTGTACCTCAGGAATGTGTTTTCTATACAAACAGCATTATTTCAAGGACTTGGGTAAGTATGGTTTCTACTCCAAAGGAGGTGATATTCCCCCCCATCACCAACACACTTCATTTTGCTCTCTAAATGCATACATACAAGGCACAAGGCAAACATTTTAGTACTTTCTTTTACAGTCCTGTCCTGGATATGGAATCTGGGCATCTTACCACGCTGACAGACTGCATATTTCCCAAATTCAATACTACATTGAGCTCCTTACACTGTATGGCCCTGAGTCTGGGAATAATGGTAGGACTTGCAGGAGGGCTGGAGCAGCTACTGATCAAGCTTTTCCTTTTATCCATCGTTGGAGAAGCCTGCACAGTGAATTTATGCTGAAAATCTGTTCAGCAAAAGAAAAAAAAATCAAAACAAAAGCAGAAAAACAGTTGAAGTTTTTTTTAACATATGGAAAAAGAAATACTTTATGGTAACTTTCAAAGAGTACAACTTATAGGATTAAGGTAGAAATGAAGTTTTACAGCAAATTGCTAATTTGCCTTTTGTACACACTGTTACTTCAGAACAAAAATGTGTGCTCACACTCTTGGAGATATATCTCAGTGTATGTGTAAGACACATACACACACAAACCCCATTGACTGACATTTATGCCCAAGTATATTCCTGTATAATTCCTTTCACCCTATCTCTCAGTTTCTTAAGCACCACCAAAAATAGGCATTTACAGACCTAAAGAAAGGCATAGTTAACATATGCACTTTAGCATAATTGCTCTTCTGAACAGCCAATACCTCCTAGAAAACAAATAATATAGTGCAAGCCATCATCCTTGATATAATGATGAGTCTTAGGTGATTTACAAAACCCACACTTTTGTTCTTTTACAAATTTGAATCTCCATACAGAACCTGCAGTAGAAATGCTAAGGATTCAGTATTTCTGAAAATCACCATCTTCGCTCTTAAGAGTGACTTCCCTAACACCTCACTAATATTTAGCATTTCTTCCAGAAGGGTGGTATTAGAGGTCACTTGTGTGTTAATACAAGTTTATATATGAACTAGCAATCTAGAGCTATAGTCTCATAGCTATGAATGTATTTTGGTAATTTTTAGGGTCTTACACCAAGAAATCCAGTACATCACAGTTTCTGCTGCAGCATTATGTAAAGTATTCCCAGAACAAGAACCTCCATCATTTTTTATGCACATCCTTTATTAAACTGGTATTTTGAATATTAACATGCTAAACTGCAACACCAGCATTTTAACCATTGACCATATACAGCCACTGATTAACAAACATGTAACATCTCAAATCTACTTCTGGCCTTCATCTTGGGTCTTTGAGCAATGCTAGCCACAAAAGCATCAAATTTATTTTACTGAACCCATGAGGCATGTTTTTTCCCTAAGTACATCCAATACTTTTTAATGCTCAAGTATCAGTAGTAAGGAGCTACCAAACCTACAGGTTGCTCCCATTTCACCTGGCACAGAACAACCTGTCACCAACCTGAAGGTAGGCTGATATGATTGCCATCTTTTAACTTGAGCCGGTTCCTCTTGAACTTTCCCATGCGTTTCTTCACCCGAGGCTTCTCCTGACACAGCTGGTGGATGATGATGTTGAGCTCCCTTTCCAGGATGTCAATCTCTCGTTCTGCCAGCTCCTGCTCCCGCCTTCGCAGCAGCTCTTCATGATTCTTCTGTTCAACAGCAGCACGAGTCAGCTCTTCTTCCCATGTGCGCAGCTCCTGTAGGGAGATAAGAAAGCAGAAATAAAAAGCTACCTTGTGACCTGTGCATTAAGATTAACATTGCCTGTTCTAAAAGTACAGCAGCAATGACTTGTGCTCACAGCACTGCTAGCATCATTGTTTAAAGGCTCAGCTGAAAGCAAAAAACAATCCTCAAGGACTTCTATGCTTGCCATTCTAGGACCTTCATACCAGTATTAAAATTTGGACATCAGCACTTGTGAGGCCACACCTGAAATCCTGTGTCAAGTTCTAGGCTCTCCAGTACAAGACAGACATGGACATACCGGAGACAGAGTCCAACAAAGGGCCATGAAGGTGATTAAGAGACTGGAGCACCTCTCCTATGAGAAAGGGTTGAAAGAGATGGGACTATTCATCCTAGCACAAAGAAGGCTTGGGTGGGGCAAAGGGGGATCTTATCAGTGTATGTAAAAACCAGAGGAAAGGGCAGAAAAAAGATAAAGCCAGGCTCTCTTCAGCAGTGCCAGTGACAGGACAAAAGGCAATGGGCACACACCGAAACACAGGAGACTGCCTCTGAATGCTTTTTTATTGAGTGTTACTGAACAGTGGGCATAGGTTGCCCAGGGAGGTTGTAGAGTCTCCCTACTTAGAAATATTCAAAAGCCAACTGGACATGGTCCTGGCAAAGATGCATAACACAGACTTTTCAGTCTATCTCTTGCTGACAAAATGAATCAACTGAAACTATCCTTGAAATCTCAAAAAGACTTCTCCCTGCACTCCTCTCCTCTCCCCACAAGTACAAAAGAATTCAGCACTCAGAATAATTCTCTCCAGCTAGCTAATTCCAGTGCAGAAGGTAAAAACTGAAGAATTTAAATTAAACTTCAAAAATACAATCAGATAGATTTTAGTTCAGATTTTTTTTAAGAACAGCATTGTTACCTGTCTCACCACCAGGGAGATTTGGTACTGTTTACTCATTAAGTGAACAGCATATAAAATTATTTCCCCATCACTAAAGAGGAATAGAGTACTCAACCTGAGGGCAGTCTAGTAACTACTGTTTGGCTTTCTGCTTGTCTGTTGAAGTTTCTGTTTTTCAAAAGCTGTTCCAACACAGTTACAACATGGGACAACAGTAGCAGAGAAATGTCTATTAGCTATTCTATTTTCCCCAAAAGCTACCATAACGGGTGAATAGAAATGTTTTAGGTATTGTTGTAGGACTTCTCTCCTCTGACCCAAAGTCATCTTTTTCTTCTCTCTGCCTCCTAAATGCAATCTCAGAGCCCTGATCAAGTTGGAGGCTCATTATGAATTTATTTTTAGGCAAGAGATCGTGAACCTAAAAAAATATTACTTCAGCAATTTTGCTGCACTTTTTACCATTGAATGTAAAGACAGTCTCTGTAAGAACCTTAAGTTAGATGCAGCAAGCTGTGCTTTCTGAAAGTATGCTTAAAGAAAACTTCAGCTTTTTCACTTCTCTTTGAGGCTGATGGTCACCACTCCTTTTATTCCTGCCACCATTTTTGTTTCCTGCTTTTTGTGCAAATGGACTTCAATTAGAACAGTTACTACACCATTCCCTTGGTAGCACTCATGTTTATCATAGTCTATGCACTTTGGTTGTCCTCAAAACCTGGAAAACACAAATTTGGCAGAAGCAAAACTGCAATGTGTACTAGAGTATATATGCTGAAACTACCCCTCCAACATCTCCTGTTATCACTGGGTTTCTCAATTAAGTGAAACAGTTATCAGATGATTAAACAATTTAAAGACAACTCATCATTGCAGTTGCACAGTGTATAATGGAAGCTCACTACAATATTAGAATGAGTAGCAGCTCAGGATGAGGATATTTATTTTTCTCATGATTCATAATCTGCCATTGATTCAGGGACTTAATACAAGCTCCAGTAAAGCATAGTCAAAATTATATCTGGGATGCACTAAAAAATGATCCCTGTTTGAATTATAAAATGGGGAAATTACAATCCAGAGAGCACAAGCAGGGAGCACTGTTCTCTCCTTACCTTTTCTTTGGCTCTGAGCTGATCAAACATCTCTTGGATCTCTTGTTTCCAATCTTCCTGCAGGGAGTGGAAGGAATCTTTGGGCATTTCAAAGAAACCAGACTCTTCTATGGCAGTAAGATGGTCTAGGATACTGGCAAAGGAAGGTCGTGAGTGTGGGTCAGGGTTCCAACAATCTAGAACAGGACAGAGACAAGCAATTATCAAGCATCTCTAAGTATGTTGGTCTGAGAGAATGAGTAGTACTTTACTGATCCCCAGTGGCTAAGAGTGGCATGCACACTATCTGTGTTACCCCACCTTTCCCATTTCCTACTTGCATTGCCCATTGTCAAGTATGCAATTCATGCTTTCATGATTATACAATATCCAACATTACTTAAAAATCTTGAACTACCTAACTACCTGGTCTCTAGATTCTCTTGCAATAATATGTCAAATAAAATAGAGGTTTATTAATTGTACAGAAAGTTATACTTTCAAGCATTTTTAAGAAATAACAAATAATTGCCTTAGATATTTTGCTTTAAAATGTATGTATATGTTCACAGAGTGGAAATTTATGCAAGGCTCTTGTAAACAGTTCTTTTATAATAGCTACTCTGCAGAGTTAACAGCCACAGTGCAGAAGGGTATCTATCAGGGTTTTTTCTAATGCCAAACTAATACCAAGCTGAGTCATTACAGATCTCTTCTCAAAACTGAAAACCTCTCCTACAAAGCAAACTGGACATAACTTGAGTAAAATAACGACATCAAATAGTGCATTTGGAGTTTTCTTATTTGTAAGGGTTCTTCTTTATCATTTCAGTTTGATCAGACCTTTTTCTTTTGCTTTTAAGAGAAACAACAGATAAACGAGTTTTTTCATTTACAATCTAAAGCAATTACTTAGCCAATTACAGAGCTCTAAAAATGCAGACTTTAAGGTAGCCATCTTTCCACATAAGGCAACTCAACAAGCAACAATACAAAAAGTAATGTTTTTACAGTGATGGGAACCGAACACTGAAAACAGAAACAGAAAATAGTAGCTCAAGCTCAAGTTACAAAATCACTAAGAATATATTTTTTAAAAGCCTTTACATCAAAACATTTGATTTAACAACACTTTTGAATAGGAAATTTGTACTCTTTCAGTCTTCCCTCTTACTGCACCCTCACTTCTACTCCTGCAGAAAACATCCCTTTTTCATTCTATGTTGCCCTGTACTGGCACTAACACAGGTTTTTGTTCAACAAATACACTTGTTCTCTTTACTACTGCTGGACTCCTGCATGCCAAAATTTCAGAGCAACCACAGAGAAAAACTTAACATTCAAGTGTATTTCTAGGGAACACAGCTTTTCTGCATGAATGGAAGTAACTAACTCTCTCAGTATGTTCATACTGTCATTGCTCTACATGGTCACTAGATTTAAGACACACATTACTGCAGCATGAAGCAAGCGTTATAAAAATGTTCTAGAAGTTTTTTAGACCTCGATGTTGGAGAAAAAAGGAAACATTCTTAAAAATATGGTGATGTCCTAAAAGACATTCATTCATCAGATTTGTGAACTGAAATACACCAAGGAGCAGCTGTAATTAAAAATAAATGTCACTTTACAAAATCTGTGCAACTGCTTAGGCTTGGTCTTGCAGGTCTTTGATTTTAGCGTTACTGAGATTTTGCATTTGGGAGCTTTGGTTTCAAAACTGCGGGTACCAACAGGTTCCATGAGACATAAGCTGGAATGTGTTTGTGTTTATGGCTTTCAAATTGCTTCTCTTACTAAAATAGAGAACTGAGGATGTTAAAGAGTGCTCTGAAGGTCCCCTGCTGCTGGCCAATTAGTAGCAATGGGTGTTACAGCTGGACTGTCAGTGCCATAATCCGTCTCTTTACCCCAGGTTTTAAACATGGCAAAGCAAACATGACCCAAAGTAAAATAAAATGCAGCAGCCAGCCAAATGCATGAATGAGTGAACAGGATAACTAGCAGGTGGCCCGTGGCTTTTATTTTCCCAGGCCTAGATCTGCCATTATTTGCACTAATGAGGACAGTTGTAACATACAAGTCTTTTCTGTGAAGACCTAAAGTTCAGCTTTGTTGTCTCAGTGAAGACCACCAGAGCAGTAATTCAAAAGTAAAAGCAGCATTAGGGGAACAAGAGTTCACTCGAGATGGGAAACAGCCTGTTTGAAAAACAGTTTTGGTGAAGGGGTAGAAAGTAATTGTGGTTTTTTTTTTTTGTTCTCGCCTTCCCCCTGCACATGGAGAAGCCAAGCGTTCCAAAGCTGAGTGGGTGCTCACCCCTGCACTGTTGGGTTCAAGCACTGGCCATATGCCTCTACCTGACTTTCCCAATAGAGGGCTTTATTTTTAAACCCAGCTGCAGAACCATGTCAAAACAAACCGCCCCGGCACAACACCGAGCTGGTAGTTCCATTAACTCTTTCAGATGCAGTTTCTTGCTTTATGTTGCTTCCAAGCTACTCTACCTGCAACTCTGCTGCTGTTTACTATCCAGTAGGACGTTTCTTGTTAGCAGAACAGTACATGAAATTTTCTACTTTAAATTAACTGAAGCCTGTAACCTAAAGAAAAGACCAGAGAAAGGCAGAAGTATTGTAAAAGCAGAGAAATCCACTAGAAACATTTTCTTACAGGGCTTATATTCCTTTCTTGGGATAAAAACACCACCGGAGGCCACAGAGCATCAGTTCTATGTTGAGATTAACTCTTTGCTCACCGAGACTATAAACCAAGTTTGATTTCTCTTTATCTCAGTTTTTCATTCTGCCAGATAGGTATAAAAATGTTTATTACATATAAACACCTGGAAATCCTTGGGAATAGGGGCACTGACAAAATTACTAAGGGTAATACTGGAAGAGAGAGAGAGGGAAGGAGAGAGGGAAGGAGAGAGGGAAGGAGAGAGGGAA